ACTTTTCTTTTGAACATATTTGGGTATAAAAAAGGGGCAGATATAAGATTTATTCTTCTTCTGCTGCCTTTCATTTTATTTGATTTTATTTTGATTGCATGTTTTTCTGTCCTTTGTTAATTTGTGTTACTAATGAAATGAATAAAGAACTACTACTACTACTACTACTACTACTAATACTACTACTACTACTACTACTATGTCTTTAAGGATTCCTCAAACATGCATGAATGAGACAAAGCAACACTCTGGGTGTGTTTTTGATGAGGGTAAGACATAATAACATGATATAAAGCTCAAAAAAGTCCATTTTGAACCATACCCCCCACCCCCCTTGAATTTACATGTGGACCAAAACTATCTTATATAGTGAACTACAGCATTTTGAAATTTTTTTCTAATGTAAGCAAATAGTTCCAACAAACCACTAAAATGTGATTGCCCACACCCTCTAAAATCTCAACAAGCAGCATTTTTTAAAACCTTACAGGAAAATAATTTCAGCAACAAACAATCACGACAAAAAAAAAAAAATTCTGCTGTTTTGTGATGTGGTAAACTGTGACTACATCAATGGCACTAAACAATAAAATTGTCAAACAGTATTTTCGATTTTTAATCACCTGCTGCCAAAAGACGAAGGAGGAAATATTTAGTTTCCTCATCATTAACAGCTGATTAGTGGACAGGGACATTAACAGCCTCTCATGCATCTGATATTAATGCTATACTGTATGAGAACTGTATTAGTTTMATAATGAGGTTGAGCCTGAGTAAATCATGGGTGACAGATTCAGGTGACATCTCTTATGACCAAAAAAAGGCAGGTATTTTTCACCACGACGCATTCCTGAATTTCGAAATCAAGGGTTCTTCAAACAAGCAGGTACTTTAGCATGAACACAACACTTTAAGAAAAATAGCTTTGGTGTTGCAAGTATTAAATAAACAAGTTGCTTCTTTGTTTCCGTTTGTTTATATCTGTGATAATTAATGCGGCGCTGAATTTTACAGGAAAAATATAAAAAAAAATCCTAACAGCATAATAGCCATTTTGTTCATCCTTTTATTCTGAAAAGGTCAAGGACAAAGCCTTTCACTGATTCCTGTTATTTCTGTTACACCACCTCGCCCTCTGGCACAGGTGGAGAAGCAATCAGGCCAGACCGAGTCCACGACTACTGAAACCCTGAGGGATTTCCAGGTGGGGCTTCTTTATTATTATTATTATTATTCCTCGCCCCCCCCCCCCCTTTTTTTCAGGCAAAGGGGATGATGACATGGGATAAAGCATAGAGTGCAGTTATTACTTTAATATTTTTGCTTCTTACTTTTGAAATTGAACTGTGTCAACAGATGTTATGAGCTTGAAAATCAAAAAATAGATAAAAAATAAGCTGAATTTTAAAAATACACGACTCTGGGCATTACGATCAGTTTCCATCCTGCTTTTCTCCGTGCCGCCTTAATTGCCACTCCACATCTTTCAGAGATGACTGATGATTTTCTTTCTCCTTTGGCTTTCTTACAGCTCTCATCTATCTCATATTTCTATTTTTAGCTTTTTGTAAGTCACTCTTAGCACATCAGACTGAGTCGGCAGTTACACCTCAATGTCTCATTCAAGGATATTTGTCATGAACATGCCCGTTAATGGGCTCGACTGCTGGTTAATGACTGTAATGGGTGTATTAGGTGTTGCTGGGCCCTTGGTTTGAGCCCATAAGCTGGGGATTTATGAGAACATACAAGGAAAAGAACATCTTTAATGGCATAAAAAACATCCATGTTTTTCTCTTGCTTTTCTCCCCTGAGCCCACCCAACCCCCACCAGGCTGAACAGACCGAGGCTTTACAATGAAAGAAAGGAGACAGACACAGACAGTCCCCATTCTGACTGTTGCTGTGGAGGGTGGAGATGGAACAACCAACCATTGAATTCACAAACACATTATATGTGGTCAAAAATCACCCGCAGACTCACACATATAGATGAAAATATATGCATACTTTCACACAGACATGAATTATAGCTGCATAAACATTATAGAAAAGATCGTGAGCTTGTTTTTTTCCCTGAGAAAACTCTGCATGTAGACCAATTGTATAGTCAACCAGATTAATATCTAGACCAATTTCCTGTCATCACTCCACAGCATTGTTTTGTTTCCAGCTCATGGCACATAAGCTACAATAAGCCTGCTTATCACTCAAACTTGAAACCCATTTCAGATGATCTATCAAGATGTATGAGAATTCACCCTTTTTTTAAGATGATGGCTTTCACCTTCACAAACATAAAAAATTAAAAATAATTAAACGTGCCATAGCTTCAACTGCTCAATTTAAAACAAAAAGAGTCACCTTGAGCTGCTGCYGGGAAATTACGCCCGCTCTTTGATTTCTCTTTAATCCACACATTGCATAACATAACAAGCCCTATTTTTACATCTAATACAGAGACGAGCTGCTGAGAAAGGAAGAGGTCTCTTTGGTGGGGAGAGGGGATTTAAAGATGGGATCATGATGAAATATAAAATGTGAGATTCATAGATACTAAAACTGAACATGATGAATCTTTGACTTGATCTGACATTTGTGGCTTGATTTCAGGACGGTAAAATTCAATTTGACAAACTGCATCAGTGAGCCTCGGCTGCACAGTTGTTGACTTTGCATCTTTTTTTTTGTGTTGAGTAATCTGATATTTGTTTGCGCCTTAGGTGTGAAAGCCAAAAAGTCTCATCAGGTTGTGTAATACACCTGACACTCCTTACACATCATCCAAAAACAAGATCTGATCAGCACAAACAGATTTCTGTTGGGCAYAGGGCAGGGTTACACTACATGAATACTACAGGGGAGTGCAGCCTGCTGAATGTTATTTTATTGCATTATATAACCTCCTAACCCACTGACAAGTCACCACATAGACCTATGGTACATTTTTACTCTGTTCTCAGTTCCCGTCTGAATCTAAAAWCTTAATATCAATCCCTTGTCCCAATTTATCCATTTTCTTCCTTCAAGTCATTCTTCCTCTTTATTCTCGCCTAATTCCCCCCAACCGCTCTACCATCCTCCACTCATCCTCATGTTCTTTCTCCAGGTTTATTTCCATCGCTTTAACTCACATCTGTCAAACCCGTTTTTTTTTTCCAGTCTCTCCATTCCTTTTTCCCTCCTTGACCACCCACCGGCCTTACCAGGTATGAGCCACCGTGAAGCGCCGCCTCTGCCGGATGCTCTTGTTCACCATCAGCTTGCGGAACAGGCGCGGGGAGCTTCTCGGGGACAGCTTGGGAGATGTGGCGCCCCTCCTGCCTCCCACCATGCCCGGCATCTTCGGGGGTTCCAGCTCCAGGTGCATGTGCTCCTTGAAGGTCCGGATGCACGAGTCCATCTCGACGCTCAGTTCGTTGGACGACATACCTGCCAACGTGGGTCGAGTCCTCTGAGACAGACGACCGATTCCTCCGTGAAACTCTGGAAAAAAYAGCTGCGAGTTCTGCCCAACAAGCCAGTCATGTAAATCGGAGTTTCTTTGACAGAAACAGAAGTTTTTTACTATGTTGTGATGTTGCAGGAAAAATCAGGCAACCTAAGACAGACATTCAGCCAGGAGAAGGCCAGCATACCGTTCTGTTGTTTGTGTGGGTTTGCTTCGGTTCTTCGTTGTTCCCCCCTGTACCTCGCTTTTCACAGGTTTAGGGATTAGCCAGCCAGCAGTCGTGCCCTGTGGTGCTCTTTTTGTTGACTCATGCCTTCCTGCAGATCTTTTGCTCATCTGAGGCTTTTAAGGCGAGCTTCTCCAGCAGGATCATGCACGGGGATAAAATATATAACAATCTCAAATCCTCTTCTCTTCCATCTCTCTCCTTGTCCTAGTGCTTGTAAAGTGCACAGCCCTGTAGTTGTGTCACTGGTGGTGCCGGCTAAAATGCACACCTCAGCCCCAACTCTTTCTCTCAGTCCATCCAGGTAGCTTGATGTTGGAGGATCTCCCTCATGAAATATTCAGAAGGGGCTGAAAACTGCTTTCTGCCTTCTCCTGTCTTGCTCTCCCTCCATCAACCACTGCTTGACTGACCTCCTCTCTCTGTTTCTCCCACTCTCTCTCTGCAAACAACCCCCACCTCCCTCCTAAAAGGCACTCCCGATGTGGCACAGAGTGACTCCTGCTACGCTGAGCCTCAAGTCAGACCTCCCTCCACTCGCACAGTCAGAGCAGTGAGCAGAGCAGARCACAGCAAATACTTCCCTCTCTGTTTCATTCAGAATATACGCGAGGAAGCCAGAGCAGGCACGCAGCAGACACAAGCCCCGCCTCCGACGATTAGGATTGGCCAGGGGTGGTTGTGACGCTAAGCGGGCAGGCACAGTAACAGGTAGTCAGATTTATTTGTTGGGTTTTATTTATTAATTTTTTACCTAGCAGTAATGCTGCTGATTATATTGTGACCTTTCATGGAGYCAGCAACCAGTTAGGAGGAGCCAAGAGGAAAAGACAAATTAGAGGGGAGATGAACACAAACAGCCTAATGAGGATTACTGAGGAGAAACGTACACACRGCTCAAAGGTCAACTGATTCTAATGAAAACTCTGAAGTATGCATTCATGTCAAAATAAAGAGTTCCTTTGCCAGCGACGAACCAAACACACATGCTATTCAGTTTTTTTTTCCTATAGCAGCAAATAGATTGTGTTTCCTTCAGACACGAACACCACGTAATCATTCCASTTTTGTTTTTCTGAATGGCAACAGTCCAACCACACATGCCTCAGTATGTAATGAGAGCGTGTTGGATTATTCTGAATAATGCAAAGAGAGAAAAAAAAGGAGGAGTRATGCCCTGAAGGTGGAAAAGCCATAAAGATAATGAGAGGGAAAAAAAACGAACATCAGAGGAGAGAGAGAATGGCAGCGTGATGAGTGATGGAAATGTGAACACTTGCTCATCTACCATTGGACTGATTTGTTTTGGTAGTGAGTCACCGGTGAGTCTAAGCGAAGGAAGCAGAGAGAGCTTTCTCATGAAAAATCTTGCCAAGAAGCCCYTCAGAAAATAGCTTTACAACAGTTTAGATTAAAAAAACACTTGTAGTAGTTTGAGATGACAGAACACAGCAGATTACATTAAGAGTCATTAGACAGGACTCAGATTTCAGGATCTGAGTTCATATTTTGGTACCAACCCTTTTAGTCAGCTGCGTATCCTTTAGAMTAAGGAGATGATAGAAAATTTGGGCTTTAAATTATTAAWGTAAGACCAGAAATCTAACACTAAGTGGTTTATTAAATAGTGCTTTGAGATGCATAGTGCTGTGGGAACGCACACAAATTCACAAACACAAACACATTCTGTTCTTGTGTTCATCTTTACTTTGTATTGGCACATTTCCATTTCAAACTAGAATAACTTCAGTACTTTAACCTTCTGTTTGCAAGTAAAATGAAGGGTTTGACAATCATTATTCAACTTTACAACATTTTAAGTTTTGACACGATGATTTCCAAACGACAAATAGAAAAAAAAACAAGTAATTCAAGTCATATTTGGTTATAGAACATCTGTAGTTCTTTTACGTTTCTTAATTTAGAGGCATTTGGGACATGGTGAGAAACATTCTGAAGTCTTACTAACAGCAATGTAATTATAAATAATTAAATGAATAAAATACAAAAATAGTARCAGCCTAAAGTCGTTTCTGCTTTGATGTGCTTTGCCTTTAGTTCTGACTGCTGACGATTCAAACTGATCTGCGTAAGTTTTGGTGCCGGAACAGCGGAACATCATTACTCAGTCTGGAGGAGGTTCGATTGATTGATTTATAAAGGTGGAACAATTTGTTTTTCTATTTCCATTTGACTAAAAACAGATCAGAAAGTCATCTGTTTTCACGTCGTCAGAAGACGCGCGTTTCCTTATTCTCTAACCTCCAACGATGAAACTCGATCAGATCGACAGGAAGACCATCCTTRAAACCTGAGTGTGTGTTGGAGAGAAAGAGGATCCCGGTTGTTATGGTGAGTGTATGGGTCAGCTGGAGGTAATGTGGAGAGCATGAGATGAATTTAAGTCTTGAAATGAGAGCATCTCTGGTTACATAAAACTCTCTCCTCCTTGTTTCTTCTGTCACACTCTGTCTCTCTCAGATAACTGAACACAAGCCTGCATTGTGGCCTAGATTAGAAGAGCTGTGCAATTTTTTTTTAAAAAGGGGGCTAAAAAGATTTTTAAAAATGATCGAAAATACAACAAGTAAACTAAATAGGATAAAAATAAAAATGGTCATGAGGATGCATGTCTAATTATCTCCTGGTACAGGGCTATTCAACTAAACTGCTCAGGGGAAGAAGCCATATTTACTCCAAGCCAACAGCTCAGGGGTCGGACCCCGGGGGGAGGCGTTGCCCATTAATGGTAGGTGAAACACTGCAGTATGTAACAGAACACGTATTATGTTGTTTTACCTTTGAGGCTGTTTTTTTGTTTGTTTTTTGCTGCATTGAATAATAAATTTTACATTTACTTTTATATTCAATTAAGTTTAAAAATGTTTTTCAATTTCTCAGTTTTTATTTCTTTTTGGTGGGGGYCTGAWTGGTGGGCCAGATGAAAGTCACCTGCGGGCAGGATGTGGCCMGCGGGCCACCAGTTGAATAGCCCTRTCCTAGCTTAATAAGGAGTATGATAGGTTTCTGTGTGTCATCTAAATGTATGCTAACATAAGGAAATATTTTTTTAGCTCACATTTTGTTTTATTTCATATTTACCCTCACATGTAGATTTATTTCAAGATAAAGTGACTTTCAAAGTTAATAGAAATCATTATGGTTTTATAAACTTTGAAATTCACTTTATCTTGAAATAAATCTACATGTGAGGGTAAATATGAAATAAAACAAAATGTGAGCTAAAAAAATATTTCCTTATGTTAGCATACATTTAGATGACACACAGAAACCTATCATACTCCTTATTA